GTTAAGCGACTGCCTTCGGCTCAGGTCATGATCCTGGAGTCCCTGGATCGAGTCCCGCATCGGGCTCCCTGCTCGGCAGGGAGTCTGCTTCTCCCTCGGACCCTCCCCCCTCTCATGTACTCGCTCTCTCTCATTCTCTCTCTCTCAAATAAATAAATAAAATCTTTAAAAAAAAAAAAAGATTTAGTAAAAAAAAGAAAATTTACTCTCCTTCTGAGATGAAGTGAACAGCTACTGACTTCTTATTCTAGGGCAGGGGATTAAAGGGCCTTCTAAACTGAAAATTAGAAAAAATTTCAAAATGTAAACATTCACCAATTTCCCAATGAAATTTCCCAAATGAAATGCATGAAGAAGAGTTTTGCAAAATTTGCCTGCAGGATGCGGTGTCATTCTGTTCTCTTTAACCATCCAACCCTCTCGGTCACAGGCTCTTCAGGATGTCCAGTAGAGCCCCCAAAATATCCTTTCACCAAAACGCCACACAGGACAGACGGAGCCTCAGAGACCGGCCTCTCCCACCTTCCAGGGTGCCCTCCCCAAACGCACTCACCGTAGCGCCTGGACAAGGTTAAGGTCAGTGAACTCATGTAACTCCACAAATGCATGAAGAACCTGGATATTAAACTCGTCTCTAGCAGGAAAAACAAAAGATGGGGGAGGGGAGCGGAAGTCAGACACCGAGCCTGAGAATCCAAGCCGTCCAGCCCCAGCCAGGATCTTTCCCTGCTGAGTCCCGCGGTCCCACCGCCTCCACACCCAGTGAGGAAGAAGCCCACGTCCCTCTGTCCCCATGCCTCCGTAACACCAGCCACTGTTCCCCTGCACTCAGCCGCTTCAGGACAGAGCTCTCTTCGGGGACGGGGAGCATGCTGGCACTCCTGACCAAGCCGCTCTGCCACTGGCGTCCCCCCAGGCCTTACCTCTCCCCCAGGTAGTCACCAATGGCGGTTTTGTTGAGGCCTTCCCCTTTATACAAGAACTGGGCAATGTCCTCACAAGTATTCTTCAGCAGGTCATTCTCTATTAAGAACTGTATCCCCTAGAAGACACAACAAGGATGCCAATGACACTCACCCTGGAAACCTCTAGGAAGGAGGGGAAAGGGCAGAGGAAGGACGGATGTGGGAATCTAGACACACAGGAGTATCTAATAAATACTTGGCAACGGACATGCAGGGTCAGGGGAGTCCCAGCTGGGGAGCCAGGGCTGAGGACGTGACAATGGGACGTGTGCTCTACGGAAGGGCCGGAGCTGTGACGGACAGCACCGGGCTCTAGCTGAGCCCGCAGCCACCCCATCTTCGAGCCGAGGGCTCCGGGAGCACCCTCTTGCTCACCTTTTTAGGGTCCATGTTAAACTTTTTCCTGCCCATGGCTACCTGTTTGTTCCTCTGCATGTTTTTCCTGAAAAGCAACCAACACAGCCATGTCAGTCCTCCAGGCAGTCGGGAGGCTGGGAGAGACGAATGTCATTCCCACCTGCACCCACGGACTTGTAGGGGGTCTCGAAAGCACTATCAGGAGAGCGTGGGAGTACTTGGCCTACGCGTGGAAGGTCAGCTGAAATCCTAACCCCAGCCCCACAACCATTTGTTCCTTCTACCCCAGGGCTTTTCTTTTAACATGACTTTTTAAAAAAACTTTATCCAGGTATCATGTACATATCACACAACAGACCCATTTTAATGGTACATCTGAACGATTTTTGGTAAGCTTACGAAGTTGTGTAGCCATCACCATGGCCGGGTTTAGAACACTTTTACCACCCAGCGAGGGTGTGCTGCGTGAGCGACAGGCTGCCCTCCCTGTGCCCGCCAGCCAGCGTGCCAGTGGCCTGCAGGTGGGGCCACGCAACTCGAGAAGGTCGTAAGCGCTGCCGGCACATGACGAGAAGGACGCCGGCTCACCGACACCACGGACCCCAGGCCCACTCTTAGTTCTGGGCTGTCTTCTTATCACCCAGTTGCATGTGCTCTTCACCTAGATATTCTGGATACCAGCCCTTTTTCAGACACACTACTGCAAATGCTTCTCCTTGTCTGTGGCTCACCTGTTTCTCTTCATAGTATCTTTAAGAGCAGAAGTTTTAAATTCTGATAAACTCCAATGTAACCATTGCTTTAAAGCTACAATTTTTTTAAGTGTAAAGTTAAGAAAGCTATAATCCCAAACTGACAAGAGAAAGCCTGGAAGTGATGAGCTGGCCATTTTCCGTAGACCACGCGGCTTCACTAATCTCTAATGGCACCGCCCACACCCACTTAAAATAACAAACTCAAATGGTCTTAGGAAGCCAGACTGGGGACTTAGGCTTAGAAAAATACAGACATGTAGTGAGCTAGAAACAGCCCAGTTAGTGCATTAAGTACTTAGAAAACGGTCTGGGAACCCCATTCAAAACTAAACTCTGGAGGTCGCTGATGCTTCATGCCGGTACCCTGCGAACAGTCCCCGTCACGTTGCCCTATAATGCCCATGTCCGCGCTCTGCTCCCAAGCGTACGGGAGGCACGAGCGAGCCCCCAGCTGCACCCAGACGCAGCTGGGCGCTCCAGCCTTCAAAACTGGTGCGAGCAGCATTAAGCTTTTCCTTGACACAAAGGAAAAGCACAAACTACAACGCAAACACAGTGGATGGCAGAGGGAAGAAACACCAGTTCGCACAGTCATTTCAGGGCTGTTTCAGGTTTGGGGGGCCTTCGGAGTTCTCTGGTTCAACATCTGCAATAACGTGAGAGGCCCTCACCTGCTGGAGCCCCTGCACTGAAGGGGGGAGGACAGAAAACACGGTGACGTGTGTGCTTGCTAGGGACCGAGGACAGAAAGTGCTCCCTCCGTTCACAGGCCGCAAGCACAGGCCGGTGCTCGGCGAGGTCGCAGCCGCACCACCCAGCAGCCGGCTGGGCGGACTCACCTTTCCTCTGTGGACCCGAGGTTTTCAATTTCATTAGCTACTTCTGCTATCTCATCCTTGAGCCTCTACAAAACAGACAGTCCAGAATTACCAGGAGGGGCCGAAGCAAGGGAGAGGAGCCCCTCTAACAGCTCCCATAACTCCCTCCATCCAAAAACAAGATAAAATAAACCAAAATCAAATAAAATAAGACAAATCAGAAAAAAAAATCTTTAACGTTTGGAAAATTCATTTATTCGACAAATATTTATTGGGCTCCTACCAGATAGTACACATTCCAGGGAATCCACAGGTGAAAAAGAGAGCTCCTGACGTCAAGGAGTTTACTGTCTAGGGAAGCTTATAATCACAGACACTATGTAAAATACGTATTTTCCCACTGAAAGGTGGCTGCCTCGATCGGTCGGTCAGAGCATCTCGGCAGCCTGCGAAGCGAGTGTGCTTGAAGAGTCGGGATGAATGACCCACACACCCAGCCCGCCAGGCCAGAGGCGCTTGGGCTGGGCCAACACTGCCCCCCAGCGGCGGGCATCGGGAACATCCAACCCAAGCTCCTGCCTCCCCCCCACCGCACAGGTGTGGCAGACCCTCCGAATGGACGGTCCCGGTGAAGGGGGTGTGAGTGAAGAACTGCTAAGATTTCCTAGCATTTACCAGTGAAATAGGAATCTAAGAATTAGTGCAAATGATCAAATCATACTGAAGCCAACACTGGAGCAAGTCTTTCCACACTCTGCAGCTTTGGGGTTCCAGGGTATGTCCCCTCCCTCCCCTCCCCACCCCCAAGCTCCCAAATGTTTTACAAAGAATTCTACAAGAATAACATCTGCTGCCCCAAGGGTAAAATAATCCAACCAATGGCGTCTATGACTTATGTCCTACAAGGCTTCGCAGTTCCGCAAAGGATCTTAGAAACACTGATGAAACAGCGCTCGCTGGTGAAGCGTCTCGTAGGAACAGGGCCTCATTTAACCCTGACAGCAACCTATCAACAGGTGCTTTCATTCTTATCTCACAGCTAAAGAAGCTGAAGTTCAAAGAATCCTTTTATCTGAGATCGCTCCTCTGGGAAGAGGCAGAGCCAGGACCGGACGTGGGTCTAGCTTAACCCGAAGTCCGCGTTCCAAGCACCTGAGCCCTCACCCATGCCCCACTCGGCAGTGAGAAGCCCGCTTGGGAGTCAGTGGGCCTAGGGTCACCTCATTCTGACAAGTGACCAGCTGGGTGAGGGCTTCACAAACCAGCTAACCTCAGCTTCCCTCTTCCCACCGGTGAAACCAAGGTGACTGTCAGGAACTACACCCTGCTCAGAGCTGGGCTGGGGTCAACTCAGAAGATGTCACGAGGAGACTCTTTGTAGAACAGGACACCTGTCACACCGCACGCGTCACCGCTGTGACCTCCTACCTGAATGTCGGCCAGTAGCTCCTGCTTTCTCCGCCGGATGTTCTCCAGTTCCTGACGCTCCTCTACAGTCAGGTCACTGGGAACTACAAGAAAGGAGGGAAAAGTTACTAAGAAAGCTTTATCTCACCAAAAATAAACAGACTCCAGAGACCACAAAAGGACAAGGATGCCATGGAAGAAACCAGAAGCCCATTTTGGAAATGGGGACAGCTCTGGCCCCCATTCTCCCTCAGCTTCAGCAAAGGAAGAAAGCATCCTGCTCACAGAGAAAAGCTCGCTGAAGGAGCACTTGCCATGGAAACGCGAGAAAAGGCAGCCTGAGGTCAGATGAGGCTGGCCAGGGATAAGAGGGCACTGTCAGCCGAGCCCCGGCCATCTTCAGCCCTGACAGCGGGGACACTTCAGGCCCCCGGTGAGCCCGAGTCTCGCGGCCTCAGCCCCCTCTCTGGACCCCCGCCCCTGACCGGAACCACTTCCACGACTCCCTGAAGTGGGGAGGGGGTGGTACTTGCAAAACAACGTGAACACTTTTGTGCCATTTCTGGAGGGGGAGGGGACAGACTAGACACGTACAGAGAAAAAAATCTAGAAGGATATACCCCAACTGAGCGCTCGGCTCTAGGGACTGGGTTATGGAGACTCTGCTCTCTGCTTTACACGCTTCTGACTATGTTTTCATGAGCTCCCACCCTGACAACAGAGTCACTGAGCTCCCGGTCACAGTTCTCACCACGAGACACGTCCCCCTCCGAGGCTGCACCTCCTCACCAACAGGAACAGGGGCTTGGGACAACAGCTCCCTCAGAGGACCCTTCTGAACGTGCTGGGCAAGGCCACAAGGTCAGAGGGGAACACAAGCACTCGCGTCCGGAAAGCCCGGGGTTAAATCCTGGCTCCAACCCGCCACACCCCACGTAGGGGTGCCTTACACAGGTCAGCCCGTCCGGGCCCCATGTCATCGGCGGTAAAGCAGGCACACGCCACCGCGGGCTGCCGAACGGTCGGGGTCCACCAGAGAAGGTGCCTCAGAGCCCGCCTGGGGCTTCACGGGAGCTGCAAACTGTTGGCTCCTGTTTCCTTCTGGGCAAAAGCAAAAGCAAAAGGCACCGGTGTGGCCGGACGGAAGGGGCAGCACAAGGATGCTTCTAGACTCGGCAGGGGCCCGCGTGGGTTAGAACCGCACCGCGATACGGTGACCACTAAGCACCTGAAACGTGACTAAGCCAGACTGAGGTGGACTGTATGTATAAAATACACGCCAGACTTTATACGAAAAGGTAGAATATCTCCTTAACAATACTTTATATTGGGGGCGCCTGGGTGGCTCAGATGGTTAAGTGTTTGCCTTCAGCTCAGGTCATGATCCCAGAGTCCTGGGATCGAGTCCCGCATTGGGCTCCCCGCTCCGCAGGAAGCCTGCTTCTCCCTCTCCCACCCCCTCTGCTTGTGTTCCCTCTTTCGCTGTGTCTCTCTCTGTCAAATAAATAAATAAAATCTTTAAGAAAAAAAAATACTTTATATTGATTACACATTGAACTCATTACTTGATAAATAAAATATACTATTTTAATTGATCTCACGTGGGCTACGAGAAAGTAACGCTGCATTTTGTGGCTCAGACTACATTTCTACTGGACAGCATGGACCTGGAACAACAGCTCTGCTTGAAAGCGCAGGACCCACAACTCTCTTTCTGTGACACTGAGACTTTACTGCATTCAGAGGCCAGTTACTTTCCCCAAATATTTCATAAAAATCATGGAAGACAACAACAGGGTAGAAACAACAGACAATGATGTCTACAGCCACAGGTAAATCACCTCCATTAGATAAGCTGGCTTTTTTTTTTTAAGTAGGCTGCACCCCCAGCATGGAGCCCAACGCAGGGCTGGAAGCCACAACCCTGAGATCCAGACCTGAGCCGAGACCAAGAGTTGGACACTCAACCGACTAAGCCACCCAGGTGCCCCTAACTTTTCTTTTTTTTACCCAGCGTTCCCCTGACCCTTCTCTAGAAAACTGCCTTTTAAACTTCCCCAAGATGCACTAAAAAATGCATTTGCTATCACGACCCGATCTTCTCCATATACAACAGTACCAGAAATGTACCTTCTTCATGTGACAGCCCCTGACATTTTCTATCATTTTACCCTTCATTTTCTTCCCAGTGGCTGTGAAATGTCCCAGCCTAACTAAGGCTCTGAGTCCTACAGTAGGAAGCACCATCATCAGAGGCTGGAGGGTTCCGGCGGACGACGGAAAGCCAGCCCAGGTCACCTTCTGAGAGTGACCTCGCTGCATCCCTGGGAACTCCGAGGGAACGCTCACCAGGGCTGCCTGAACCGCTGGGCCAGTGACAAGTCAGCTCCAGTTAGAGCGAACGCCACTCTGAGAAACAACACAGACTCCATTCTTGAGAAAAGCACACACACTTAAAGGAGTTTATTCCAGTTTTTCTGGATTTCACAGAGCAGATTTTCTAGTCCATGAAGACTGGAAGATCCCTGTAAGAAATAATTTCCTCAGGTTCTAGGAGACAAATATTCATTCTAACATAACATGGTCTTGAAAATTTGAGGCAAAAGTTCATTTTTTTTTTTTTTAAAGATTTTATTCATCTGACAGAGAGACAGTGAGAGAGGGAACACAAGCAGGGGGAGTGGGAGAGGGAGAAGCAGGCTTCCCGCTGAGCAGGGAGCCCGATACGGGGCTCGATCCCATGACCCTGGGATCATGACCTGAGCCGAAGGCAGACGCTTAACGACTGAGCCACCCAGGCGCCCCCAAAAGTTCATTTTTAATAGCTGTTCCAAGGGGGAGAGTAACCAGGCTGTGCTTCTGAAGCTTAACCAGATCAACGCGTCCCTACCCAAGCGGAGGCTAGACTAAGACCCTCGGAATGAGGGTGATGAAAAACAGACCCAGCGTGTAGAAAATTTACATCTCAAGACTTGCTGGGTGCCCCGAGAAACCAATGTTTCTCATTCCAGATTGGGAAATCTCTGTGGTTGCTTTCTTTCGAGAACCTCAGCACCCACCCAGTCCAGGTTAGCATTCACACACGACCATTATTTGAGAAGGTCACAATCTAGTTTCTGTGTTACAAATTCAGAACTGCAGCCGATCCTCTACCTGCCAAGATACTATTCTGGAAACAGTAAAGGAACTTTTTAAAAGCTATAAACCTACAACGTCGAAACGTCCAGGGAGAGGACCCACTGGCAGAAGAGATTTCAACTAACTTCTGGGACAGAGAGAGCGGAGTGCCAACTCCTCCTTCTGGAAGGCAAACTCTGCGGGCGCAGGGCCCTGGGGCGCCCATCACGGCCGTGTCTGCAGAGCCCAGCACAGTGCCTGACACAGCACAGACTGTGAATGTCAGTGCCCTCGGCCTAACAAAACAACTGAGCGGGCAGCCGAGCCGGGAGACCTGGTACTGCCCTTACAGCAAAGTCGGTTCACACCCAGCCAGACGAAAGCAGAGCCTCGCTACACACGAGGCCCGCCCCACACACGGAGCTCCCATTTAACCTACTGTCCACTGCGTCTTTCTTACACCCACAGAGATGGCAGAACCTACAGGCCAAATGAGAACCAGCAAGGCAGGGAACAGAAAACCCACCCTGGAGCAGAACAAAAGAAAACTTCGGAAGAACAGAACACTCTGGAAAAGGGACAGTTAAACAATACACTCCTGGAAATTAAGCCTATTTTTGTCCCTCAGCCTCCCCCTATCAAAAAGGGGTTAAAAGATAAAGGTGAGGCACCTGCAGAATAAAGAGCAAAAAAGACCTGAAGACAGAAGCAGAAATGGACTCACTCAGGAAAACAGCCATTGTAAAAACTCAGAAGTTGGAGGATTCAAGATGATCCTAAAGCCACCATGAGCAGGAAGAGAAAGGAGGCGGCGGTGTAACAGTGGACTGGGAGACAGAGGAGGGGCTTTCGAGGGTCTAAATAAAAATGACTTTGGCCCTAGAATTAATTCGCAGTCACTGTGGAGGACAAAACAGAATCATTGCAGGCACAGGAGGACTCAAAGTTTAGCTCGTTCAGGAGGAGGAAGATGCGCGCACAAGGACGGGGAAGGAGCAGCCTCGGGAGCCGGAGGAGAACACACACGCTCCTGCGCGTGGACAGGAAGCCGCCCGGCCACCCGCAAGCAGCTCATCCCAGAGAAGGAATGGGAAGACAACGGAGAAGTATTTATAATATGCGGAGGCACCCCGGGGCCTTCTCTCAACAGAATAAAGAGGATCACTGGAAACAGAGCAACAACTGAAGGGCATCATGAGCCAGCCACAGCTGGCAGCGTTCGGGGGAGGCGAGACAGCAGAGTGCACTGGTCAGTGCTGGGAACGGCTCCCGAGAGAGCTCCAGGCTGAGCAGCAAGTGCATCCTGTGGGTGCTGCGCATGCTTGTCAACTTCTAGAGTCAACCTGCAGACGCAGCATGAAGGCTACTCTCAATCATGCCTTACCGATGGTGAAGGCCAGAACCAGGGAACAAACAGAAAGGCGGGGGGTGGGGGGTGTCCCCACGGCACCTGCTTACAAAAGCAGGGACAGAGGTAAAAGATCAACGAACAGGAAAACGAAGTTGTAAATATGTGTATGGAAGTTCCGAAAGTGAAAACAAAGGAACCAAAAACTGATAAACCATCAAAAATCGACAGCGAGACTGTGAAGAGGAGAATGATGTGACGTGGAAGAGGTCAAGAGCCGACTTGATAAAATCATCAGTGGGATGAGAATATTAATATGCACTTGGCAGCACCTACCAGAAGATAAAAGCCAGAAAAAGTTAATTACCAGCGGCTGCTTCTGGGGAATGGGTCTGGGAATAGAGAGATGGGTCCTTTGAATACTTGCTTTAAAAAAATACACGAAGGTACTACTGCAATTTTTAAAAAAGATTTTATTTATTTATCTGAAAGACAGAGAGTGTGCACAAGAGAGCCTGAGGTGGGGCCGGGCAGAGGGAGAGGGAGAAGCAGGGAGCCCAGGACGCCAGGATCAGGACCTGAGCCATCCAGGTGCCATTACTGCACTTCTAAAATGAAAAATAAAAATGTTCATCTATG